ACAAGCCAGGCGTACAGCTGCCAGTACAGCGGTGGTGGCGGGAACCTCTCCCGCCTCCCTCCTTAGCAGCACTAAGGATGTCTGACCGCAGCTTAGGCCTGCTCCCTGCTGGCAAGTGGACATCCCCTGAGGGCTCCTGGGCTGCCAGAGGGATGTCTGACTGCCAGCTTAGGCCGGATCCCCCAGGGAGCAGGCCTAAGCCAGCAGGTAGACATCCCCCGAGGGGTCCCATACTGTGAGAGGGCACAGGCTGAGCTGAGGGACCCTCCTGAGTGCATAAATTTTTGTGCACGGGGCCTCTAGTAGGCAAATAATAGATAATCATAAAGCCTGATTAAGGGCCACTGTTTAGGGAATCTGGCTGCATAATATTCAAATTCCCCGGTTGCCACTTATAAGCCTAAGCAGTGGATTCAACTACTCTGGACTTCTGGGTCCTCCATATTGAAGTCATGGACCACAAAATCTGACCTTGCAGGTTCTATTAGTATTAATTAAAACATAGAGAGAGGCTGAGTAGCATGTTTTAATCCATGTAAACAGCTTCCCCTGCAATATCCTCCAGAGGACACATTTATAGGGCATACCGTGTGAGGAGTGTGAAACCAGGCACTGCACAACTGGTAAGCCCGGAAGATGTAATAAGGTCACCTAGATCTGTGTAATCACAGATATGTTCCTTCATGTGATCCCCAGAATGTCAGATCTGGAAGTAACCCAGATGATCATGTAACTACTTCATTATGCAAAAGAGAAAACTGGCCTCACCAAGTGATAAGGCAGAAGGTATGGTCATATGGCCAGTTTTTGGCAGAGCTGATCTGGGATTTCAAGTTCCCTGCCTCCTTTAGTGAGTGACCTTTCTATGTCTCTTTCATTGCAACAATGGGGAGGACGATAGTGTTGACTGAAAACCCAGATCTGAACAGCTCTGTTTAGAATGCTACCAGCTGGTGTGCTTATTTCTAGAGTCAAAAACATTAGGGGGGAAAAAATGCTAGGCTAACCTTTTGCAGGTGAGGCTGAGTGGCAGTTGCTATGCAACCCGACAGGAGGATTCACAGTCTGCGGGAGATGAGTGGGAAGAGGCTGCATTTGACTGAAAGTTGAGGTGTGGGTGAATAATGTGGGGGTGGGGCAACCAAGCCGGCTTCCCGTACACACATTTCTCATGGAATATGAATGGTAAAATAAAATGTACATTTTCAGAGTTTGAGGGTGCCCACATGTTTTGCTACAATATTTAGATAATTGTCCTTAGTTTTTTTAATTGACTATGTAGATACGTGTGATCATGCAGAAGAACTGTACTTTCTTTATAAGATTCCACTTCTCCACTTTGAAATTCAGTCCAATATTTAGATTGAAAATAAGGTCAACATAATCTCAAAACCATGGATTCTTTGTTTTCTCCTAAAAACTAACAAATCAAAATTTCACAGCTAATGAAAAACATGAGTCCAATCATTTCTGTGTTTCAAACAATGAAGACACAGAATTTTAGAATTTTAAACAATTATTTGATCCAAACAAGTAACTTGAGGTATTATTAAAAGGGAGCATTTAAAAATTTCTCCTTCTTTTTTTGGTTAATTCTCACCTAAGAATATTTTTCTCCAGTGGGAGTGAGGGGTAGGGAGACAGAAGCATCCATGTGAGAGAGACAGCCACATGGATGGCTGCCTCCTGCATACACCCAAACAGGGAGGAGCCAGAGATCGAACCTGCAAGCCAGGTATGTGCCCTTCAGTTCGAGGGCTGGCACTCGAACCACTTATTACATTTGGAAATATGCAGTCATCATCATTTCCACCAACTCCTTTTCATGCTTCCCTGACTCTCCTGTAATTTCTCTTCCTTGCAAAGTACCCGAGTTCTGTGTGGCTTTGTTGGTTTTCCAAAGCCTATGTCCCCTGCTGTGTTCTTCCTCTATTGTGTTTCACTTCTCAGGTTGAAGAGCCTCATTAGTTGAGCTTTGTTTTTCTCTGATGTTACCTGGGGCATATCTGTAAGCATAGTTAATCCTCTCAAGATGTGCTCTCCTCTGAGGACCTCACAGAAAAACAACCCACAACCACGAGGCAGAAGTTGAGCTCTTGAGAAGAGGGAAGGTAGCTCTCCTCTGTCTCCTGGTTTTTCCTGTGGGTAGGAGGTCACTTCTAAGTCTAGTTAACAAGAAGCTAGTTTCAAACATAATGTTCTACTTAGCTTGTAGCATATGTGGGACGACCCTCATTCCAAAAAATCTACTGATATCCTGAAGTCCCTCCTGCTATAAAATGTCTAAAACTCTGAATAAAATATATATTAAAATAGCCTTTGAATACACAACAGTGATATGAACTGCGACATCATTTCAAAGGGCATTGAGGCAGAAAGCTTTATAATATTTCTTAGTAAACAAATAATCTTTGCTATAATCTAACATGTTAATATTTTCCTTATGATTTCTCATTTTTGTCATACTTGTAATTTAAAATCCCCTGTCCCAGTGCTATAAGACATTCTTCTAAGCTTTCCCTTAAAAATTAAGGTATTCTCTTTTATATTTAAACCATAAATCCACCTGGAATTGATATTTCCGTCTAGTATGAGCCTGAGATTGAATTTTATGTGTTTCTACAGAGGATTGACCCAGGGTAATTTATTAACTAGTCCATCATTCCTGCAGGAACCTGTGAGAAAGGCTAGGCAACACATAAACTTTTACATATGTGTGGTCATGCTTTGTGGCTTTCTGTTCCGTTCTGTTGTTTATTTTATCATGCCAAGTATAGATACACTTACAAGATGAATTATTTTAAAGTGAAGAAACAGATAATCTCATTTTTACATTATCCCAGAAAAAGAAAAATAACTATAGCCAGAATGATCCCTATTTCATATTTCAATCCTCAGTACATCTTTCAGAGCAAAACCTGAAAAGAATCACATATATAGATACACATACACACATACACCAGAGTAATATCTATTGCTTTCATAGTTCCAGAAGAAATATGTCTCGGTAAATATTAGTCTACAGAATCGGCACGACAGAATTGAAATCACATATATTAACGTCATCTCTCTCTCCATCTACATCATTCCCAAGTTAGGTTATCTCATGGACTATAAGCATAGTTTAAATTAAGAAATCTATAAATCTATTTTATCACATTAGAAAGTCATACTATAAAATCTATAGAGTCTATATATGGGAAAACATTTAATAACATTTAACATCCATCTCAAATAATCCATGATATTAGTAAGCTTGGAATTTAAAAATTATTTATAATAAAGAAAATCCACCTGAAATTAGCAGCTAACATTATACAAAGAGAAGTAAATCAGAGTCATTCTGACGAAAAGTATTGTTATCATCAAAAATTGGTGGTTAATATTAATAAAGAAAGAAAGCAAAGGGAAGGGCAGACATTGTAATCATGGCCATCTGGGCAGCTTCACCAGAAAGCTACAGCTCCATGCTCCCCGGGGACCCACAGGCCCATTCCCCGAGGTCACTGGGGAAGAGAGCAAACAAAGGGGGAGATGGATACATGCACAGTGAAGTTGGGGTGATATAGGGACAGTGCTTGCCTGTCAGTCTAGCCTGGGAGAAAGATCATTGGCTAGCAGGGTGAGGCCACTGGAAACATGGAAATGTTGGTCTAAACTGGACTTCAATATGGAGCAGAAATTCTGGGCAGTGGCCTTAATCCTGACCCTGCTGGAGACAAGATCGGACTTCTTCCAAGGTGAGATAGATGAAGATGGGACCTTGGAGGGGAACTCCCTTAATTTTACAGCACCAATAAAGCTTTCCACAGAACCCCATCTTCCTGTGGGGGCCTTGGGAAATTATTTTCCTTGAGGCACCCTTCAAACTCCATTTCCACCAGTAACAGTATGAACATCCAATTTTTGTTATCACCACTCTGATTTAATAATGTTCTAAAATCCTAGCCAGTGGAATTATAAAACACCAAAATCATCTTAAGTGAAATTAATTCCAAGCTGGGACAAAATTCTTCTTATGCATAGGAGACATTATTCGTGTAGATAAAAGTAAAAACACTAGAAAAATTAAACTGAGAAACATTGTAAAAACGAGAGCCTTGATACTTTTGCAGGACTCAAAAATAAATATGAAACTGCAATAACATCTCTATATATTAATAGTAGCTAAGACAGGATTATGTGAAAAAATAAATCAAACAAAACTAACACATGTGAAATACCCAGGGGTAATAATAAGCTTACATATGCTGAACCTATATGTGTTAAGATAATCTTTTCTATGAAAAGTATGAAAAAAAAGTTGAAAAAATGAGAAAATGATCCCCATTCAACTCTGAATATCAGCAGGCAGTGGGAGTCAGGAAACGTTTTAATTTATTTTTTAAAAAATAAAATTTACCTTTAAAATTATTAAAAATCCTTTTAAATAAAAATAATAAGCAGGTGTTGGTGCTTTGATAGCATCCTTGGCACAGCATTTCAGGAGATAACTCAGATCGAGGGTCTTTATCATGTACTAGAGGCCCATGCACAAAATTCGTGCACTTTGGGGGATCCCTCAGCCTGGCCTGCACCCTCTCACAGTCTGGGAGCCTTTAGGGGATGTCTGACTGATTGCTTAGGCCTGCTCCTAAACTGTCAGTTGGACATCCTTAGCACTGCCCAGGAGGCTGGAGAGGCTCCCGCCACCGTTTCGCTTACCAGCCATGAGCCTGGCTTCTGGCTGAGCAGTGCTCCCACTGTGGGGCACACTGACCACCATAGGGCAGCTCCTGATTTGAGCATCTGCCCCCTAGTGGTCAGTGTGCATCATAGCGACCAGTTGTTCCACTGTTGGGTCAATTTGCATATTAGCCTTTTATTATATAGGATGGGAAATTTGAGCCTGCTTTGCACTTCAAATATTTCATCGCATGGAAACAATCAAACCTGACTTGCTAGATCATCCTCAAATGGCTGTGAAAAATAAGAAAAATGTTGGAAATGACAGGAATAAATTACAGGGGACTGAATAAATGAATTGTGGAACATTAAAAAAATGAAATCTTATATAATTAATTAAAGAGTGTATACAATAGTGAATGTCATGGGGAATATACCCTTACTATCCTCAGTAAATACAAGTGTGAACTAAGTACAAGTCCAAAACATGAAGTTCCGTTTTAAGGATCGCATGACCATCTACTGACATCCGTTGCTCTCACACATGGTAAACAGGATGGATTACACACACATATATGACCACGGTTAGAGTTACAGGCTTTGGACTCAGCTAGATCTGAGTCTGAATCTTGCTTTCCTCATTACCAGCCAGGTCATCCTGAGGAAGTGACCTAACCTCTCCAAGCTTCAGTTTACTAATCAATGAACATAATAACACATCACTGGTTGGAGAAAGGACTGATGAGGTAATTATAGAGTGTCTTTTCTTTTTTTAAATACATTTTATTGATTTTTTTACAGAGAGGAAGGGAGAGGGATAAAGAGTTAGAAACATCGATGAGAGAGAAACATCGATCAGCTGCCTCCTGTACACCTCCCTACTGGGGATGTGCCCGCAACCAAGGCACTTTCCCTTGACCGGACTCGAACCTGGGACCCTTTAGTCCGCAGGCCGAAGCTCTATCCACTGAGCCAAACCAGTTAGGGCTTATAGAGTGTCTTATCTAGTTAACATTGAATATTCCAAAGCTTTCATTACACTTAGTAATACCCATGTTACATCATTAATAATATAATGTAGTTAGTGTAAGAAGCAAACCATACAATGAATCTTATTAAATTAAAAATATGCATATTGATGTATGAATCCTAAGAAAAACGATATGCACTGTTTGCACATTTCCTTGAAAAAATAAAGAATTATCACATTCCTCGAGCTCCAAGCAAAAGCCTTAGCAATTTCCCCAAAAGTGTAAATGGTATTGGCCATATTATCTGATTATCATACAACAAGCAGAGTAGTGAATATAAAAAGATTAAATACCTAAACTTTGCCAGTCTTTTGGAAAAAAAAAATGCCCAATTAACTATTGAGTAAAAGAAGCAATTAAAATAGTGCAGCTGCTC